AGTTCCCTCTGCTTCCTCCTCTCTAAACCTCTTCTAATCCATACTCAGGAGCAGTGACTGGGGATACTTGAAACGGCCCTCTTCCTCGGGGGAGGGGAGTCAGTCTGGCAGGGGTATGCCTTCCACCCACCTGATGAGACCTGATTAACTGAAGTGGGCACCCGTCAGCCAGTAGGTGTGGTGAGTCTGGGGGTGCAGCAGGTCTTCCCCTGGTCTTGAAAACCACAGTAGGTTTTTCTCTGCCTGAACCTCTTGCCCAGGGCCGGGAATTTCAAATGACATCCTGTTTTGCTAGTGAAGCAGGGAATGCCCTCCTCTCCAGAAACTCTGCCCCTCGTCTTCCCACAGGCCTCTCAGGCCACAGCCCTGGGGGACCAGGTGTCTGGTGAAGTGTGTGTCTAGATAACCCCCAGCCCCTATCTGCCTCACAGAAACAGCTAGATACTGTCCCCCTGGCCCGACGCGCACACACGGAACTGAGGTCATTCCGTCTATGTCCAGTGAAGACCAAAGGGGAAACTGAGGCAGGCAAGTGGTAGCCCTCTGTCTACCCCCACTTTGCTTGTCCCCACCACGCTGGCCGCCTTTCCCCTCTCACCAGTGCCCTGACTTCCAGCAGCCCTCAGCATGCAAATGCCGAAGACTGAAAACAGGGCTGGAAGTCAGGGGTACAGGAAAAACAGCCTTTTCTGGCGGGTGGGCCGCGGACCCTGCGGCCGGCAGCAGGCCTCTGCCCACCTGCGAGCTAGAGGAAAGTACATCCCGTTTCGTGGCTGTCCCTCACTGTGCTGCCTTTGTAGAATCAGGCGGTCCCTCTCCTGAGGTCAGAACCCCTGGCTGCAGACCTCGCCTCACACCAGCCACACACCAACCACACTCCGTCATGCGGCCCGTCTGAGGGTGCTGGGCACAGGTGGCCAGTTTCTCCGGTGCCTGGGGACAGGACTCCTGAGGGTGTGCAGGAGCGGCCGGAATGTGTGGGGCCAGGGCTGGAGGCAGGAGAAGGGGGCAGGGCTGGGGAGCACGCGCCTGTCTTTTCTGGCTCTGATGATCAGCTGCAGGGAGGACACGTCTTTGGAGAGGGAGGCATTTTATCCATTGCTGACCCTCCGAGGGACAAAATCTTGAGGGAGGGGTGCTTCCTCCTTATTTTACCCTGGGAAACCAGGGCTTTGACATTTTTTTCTACACACAGGACCCTGGATTTCTTCGGCACTAAGTGACTGACCCTTTGTCGTTGGTCACAGATGCCTCTACCGGTGTCTAGCAACCTGCCAGTCCCAGGTCCCAGTGCACAGGAAACAGCCACCGTTCTCAGTCTGAGCTGATGCTGTTTCTGTCCCCTAGAAGTATCAGGGGTGGGGGAGGGGAGGCACCGGAGCCTGGATAGAGAGCCTGATTGTAAATAAACAAATGATTGATCCTTGTCTTTAAAATAGAAATGAGCTCTCAAACCTCCACGGCCCACATAGAGACCACTACCCCTGGAGTGGAGGGGAGGTCATGCCCCCTCCTCACCATCACACAATATAAGTGTCAACCTACACCTGCTTTTCTCCGACAAGGGGGAGGAGAGCAGGTCCAAGGGACCTCAGCTTCCTAGTGGCAGAACCTACCCGGAGTAGCTGGAAGCCGGCAGTGACAGCGCCATCCACACCACTGGTGAGACCTGCCGTCCTCTGGGAGCTACTTGGCATTTTCCTAGCTCTTAGAAGTGCGTATTTGACTGTAGAGTATAATGTGTGTGTGGGCTTTAAGCTATTTTATTGAGTTTTAGAGAGAGAGGAAGGGAGAAACATCATTGTGAGAGCAAGACATCCATTGGCTGCCTTCTGCACACCCCCTACCAGGAATAGAGCCCACAACCTGGGCATGTGCCCTTCCTAGGAATCAAACCGGCAACGTTTTGGTGCAAGGTACAATGCCCACCCAACTGAGCCACACAGCTAGAGTTTAATGTAACACCAACACCATTTATACTCTGATTGTGCCGGTGGGAATCGCTGGCTTCACACCTTGGTCCTAAGAAATTCTGAGGTTCACAACCTCATACCAGCTTCCAGACATCATTCAGTCAGTTGCAGACTTTCTGTTCTCCTTCAATCGTTACCCAAGGACTTGCCTAGAGAGAGGACTTGCCTAGGGGGCGGGGAGAGAGAGAAACATCGATGCGAGACATCTGTCGGCTGCCTTGCATACATGCCCTGCCCAGGAATCGAACCAGCAACCTTCAGTGCACAGACAGCGGGATGATGCCAACCGAGCCACTCTGGCTGGGCTTTTTTTGATTCATTCCAATATTTTCTAAGCAGATAGGGAGATAACAAAGGTGTTTAAAACATGGTCAAAAAGATGAAGAAAATGAACAAGTAGAAAGAAAAGTTCACCAAGTCACAGCAGTCAAAGAAAAGGGCTTCAGGAGACTAAGGATAAGATTGCTTCCAGCCTGGGCAGCGGGCAGTCAGGGCGGCTCTGACGTCACAGCAGACGGCTGCGGTCTGGATTGTTGATGATACTCAGCAGGGGCTCCATCTGTCTCTCCTTTTCCTCTTTCCCCATCTTTGGGCTTAACTTACCAGTAGTGCCCAGGGGTGTTCAATGCGCTTCGCTGACCCTTGCATGTTGACACTGATGCTTTCTACACAACCAGGCCCTTTCAGCGTTTTAGGAGTTTCTCCTGTTTCAATCTTGGTGTTGATGGTTTTGAATCTTGTCCGTTAGGGTTCGGTGTTTGTGCGTGTTTTGGCTGGAGTATCATGTACAGATTTCTTTACTGGAGCTGCTGCTGCTGCTGCTGCTTCATCCTCATCCTCATCTTCATCAGCGGCAACGTTTGCTTGTTTCTATGGAGCTTTGCTACCACTTTCAGGGCAGAACACTTTCCAGACATACTTAGGAGTTTCATGTCCTCCTCCCCATCTTCTGACTCTGCCTCTCCCTGCACAGCTACTAAGTGCCGCCCACGAAGATGCACGGGCCCTGAGCGACACCTCGGCCATGAGACCGCGGGTGGTGGTGTTTCAGAGCCACCAAGGGAAACCGTGGGCTCTGCAGACATTTCCAGAGTTGCCAGCGTCCGGTAACTGGCCTGCCTTCCTGAGTTCCCATTCTAGGGGAGACTTAGCTGAGAAGCCCAAACTCCCAGGGGAACCGCATGCAGATGGAAACGTGTGTGCGTGTGTGTGTGTGTGTGTGTGTGTGTGTGTGTGTTTAAAATTCTAAGATAACAGGATTGCTTTTACTTTTCAAAATGAAAGAAGGAAAAGTCGGGAAGAAATAGTTTGACAGCGCAGCGTGTCGTCACTGCGTTACCGTCATTTCGGCGGTAATGACTCCTTCAGGGCAGACAGCCTCCTTGGGGGGGGGCAGTCAGGTGAGAGGAAGCTCAGCTTCCAGAATACCCTTCCGATGAGGGCTGGTGCTCAGGTTGAAATCCTGCCCAGCCGAGGGCAGGCTGTTCCCCTGCCCCTCACACTGTTGGAGAGTGGCCCTGTGCGTGATGCTCCCCAGAACAGTCAGCGGGAAACCCCCCGACCCGGGGCTCTGAAGGGACGCTGCTGAACTAGGGCTTCAGGAGTATGGAGAAGCACCTGGGCAGCACTGCACTGCTTAGTCCTGGGGGGACATCTCTCTGCTACAAAGAGCCTCTCGATCTGGGCCGGAACGGGGTAGATCTGCTTCCGGAGGGTTCTCCGTGCTTGCCTCTCCCTCCTCGCCCCTCCCGGGGCGGCTCTGCTGAACTGCCTGCTGCCCGGGTGAGCTGACACTTCTTCCCGGGAACGTGACGTGTGTTCTTACGTTGAAATTCGGGATTTGTATGTGCCGTGCTATTTAACCCTCAGAAGTCCCTGTTGAGACCAAATTTGTCTGTGAAGGGAACGTTCTTGAGAGGGTCAGGACACCACTTGTCATCAGTATGTCCATGACCCCAGAAAGAGCCAGTCAGGAACATGACACAGACCTGGTCCCAGCCTCCGAGGACTCCGACGGGAAGGCAGAGTTAGTGACACGCGCATCGATGTCCTGGCTGCACTTGTCAATCCAGACGTGGACACACGTGCTAAATCGGAGACTGCATGTGCTCATCGACGTGCCCAGGACCCTCGGTCCTGTCATTGGAACTTGGGGTTCCTCACCACCCTCAGCCCTGGTTTTCCTTTTTTTTTTTTATCCTCACCGGAGGACATTTTTCCATTTTTTGTTCAGATAGAGCGGGAGGGAGAGAGAGAGAGAGAGAAACATCGACTTGAAAGGGACACATTGAGTGGCTGCCACCCTCACGACCAACCAGGGCCGGGGACAAACTGCAACCAAGGTACGTGCCCTTAGCGGGAACCGAACCCGGGTCTCTCTGGACCGCAGGCTGACGCTCTAACCGCTGAACCAAACAGGCCAAGCCCTGGTCTTCTTGTACTGGCTTCACACCAGATGAAAACTGGCCGAACCCATCTCTTCACAGTCTTTCCCTCCCTATTTGTTTTTTTACTTAATTTTTCAAAAGTCTGGAAGAAGGGGATTTGGGTCGGGATGATACTGTCATTCTGCCACTTCTCCTTTCATCTGTTGACAGTTTTTTGAGTCACTCAGGTAGAAGCTTTGAGTTTGAAGAAGTTCTGAGTCCCAGCGGTGGCGGCAGCTCCGTGGTGAACGGTCCTGGGGAGGGTCGGAAAGAGGGGCCGCCTGACCAGTCTCCCCAGGACCTTGGCATCACCGCTCCCCTCACAGCCCTGGCTTCAGAGATCAAGAAGCTCCAGGGTATGCTGGGGGTGAGGGAAAGGGGAAAGCAGTTGGTTCCAAACCGGACTGGAAAACAGCCCTGCCCTCGCTCCTCCCTCCCCCGCTGGCGGAGAGGAGCCGGGGCGGCCGGTTATTGACAGCTGGGCGGTTTGCACCATCAAGTTTAACAATTCACATCCCCGTGTATGACTTTATCAATGTTTTTCATGGATCCCCTTCGCGGGCGCCAGGACTGACTCTCTCCTCCTCTCTTTCCCTTCCAGCATGCAAACGCAAAGAGCAAGAACCAAACAAAGACAGGAACAATTCCCAGAAGAAATCCCGCCTGGTGTTCACCGACCTCCAACGCCGAACACTCTTTGCCATCTTCAAAGAGAACAAGCGCCCGTCGAAAGAGATGCAGATCACCATTTCCCAGCAGCTGGGCCTGGAGCTCACCACCGTCAGCAACTTCTTCATGAACGCCCGGCGCCGTAGCCTGGAGAAGTGGCAGGATGACCTGAGCGCGGGGGGCTCCTCGGCCGCCTCCAGCACGTGTACCAAAGCGTGAAGGAAGGACTCTCGGCTGGGCACAAGTCACCTCCAAATGAGGACAACAGATACCAAGAGAAAACACAAAGGAAACAAGACACCGGATTCTTAGCTGGGGCCCTTCACTGGTGATTTGAAAGCACAATTCTCTTCAAAAGAAACTTCTAGCTGTAATCATAGGCCAGGTGTTCTGTTTTGTTTTGTTTTTAATGGCTAGGGAGTCCGAGTGCAAGCTGAAAATGAATCTCTCTGAACCAGACATTGTCCTCTGAGCATTCTGAGCATCTCAGAAACCCAGATGGGGCCTTCCTGGAGCAAGTTCATTTCAGTGTGGGGTCAACCAAGCTCAGGATTGCTTGAAATGTCAACAGTCCCACTTCGGGTCCCGTCAACCTTGCAGTCAGAGTTCCCATGAGTCACCGTGGGAATCCACCTGAGTTTGGGCTCCCAAGATGCTACTTTAAGAGAAGACTCTAGCCATCAGAATGACCTCATTTGCTTTCCAAGTGCTTAGCCTCATCACACCACAGTCCACCAGAGTTCACAGCCATAACATTAAAAAAACAACAAAACATCAGAATAGTTACTGAGCACAAGTTTTAAATAGGGAAGTTAAAAATAAATCCCAGGACCTGTTTTTCCAACTCAGGCATCTTTTCATTGAATGGTTTTGAAAGCTTTAAGTTGGCCCAGTTTACAGTTTTCTTTTTTTTATCTCCTGGAAATCTCACATGGTCTTGGATCCATCACAAACAACAGATCAGTTCACTTGAGCTCAAAGTACCAAGCACAACGAAGGTCAACGGAGAATACGGAAGGCTGGATTCGCCACGTCTGGATTTTCAGGACGCCGATTGTGAAGTCAGAGGGAATCACTGGGGATACAGCTTCAAGCACACTTTGCAGTTTGCTACAAATTGTTTGTACCTAATGCAGACGCACACTCAGGAGGCCAGTTTTACTGTCATGGTACATGGCGCAAACGCAGCATTTTAAAAGATCTAGCTTTTTTTTTTTTTAGATCATGAACGTGTCCTTCTTGGTTATCAATCACCTGGTTTCTCTTACTGTGCATTCTGACCCCTACGTAACTCATTTTCACTCTTTCAGATTTGGGTTGTTCTCTCATTCATCCCATCGGTAGGGACGTTTTCAGTGTTTTCTAGCAAGAAAATAAAATAATAATTCAAATCACCATCCATGTTACCCATCTAGTCCTAAATCTCTTCCATTGTTGAGTCGTTCTAGCAAAATAGCTGAATAAAACTGGAGAAAACTCAGCACACCAAAGAAGCAGAATACTGCAAACCAAAGACTTTTGTTACTTGCCATTTTCTAGCCTAAAAATACTGTGATTACTTTTAGAAATCAGAAAAACCTCTGCAACTCCGAACGGCATTCAGCTCTTGCATTTGGCTCAGCATCAGGCCGAGCAGACAGGCTATGCCAAGGACATTAGCCAAGCCACCAAGGGCGTGGCTGTCACCTTCCAACAGCAGGCAGGAGAGCGCCCACCCACGGGACTCGGGAGGTTGCGAAGGTCTCGATGTGCATACTTACCAGTGAATGGCCCCAGGTGGGCACCAAGGGGTGCTCAAAGCAAGCCAAACGCTGCAACAATTCTCTACAGACACTTGAGACTGACTTTTTTATGAATTACTTAATCGAAACCAAAGAAACTTTTTCTGCACCTACTTCTGCAACAAACAAAACTGTCCCATTAAGATGAATAAGGAAATACGTAAATCAATGAAAATCACCACCAACAAGAAGGAAGCACGCCAGAAAAAAAAAATACAGCGAGACACACTGTGTTCAGACAGACCTCTTGGGACATTTTTTGGAAGCAGATTTTAAAGAAAGGGTTGAGACACGAATGGAAATACGGAAAAAGCCTCAGTAGCTGCTGCTTCATTTGACAACTCACGCGGTAATCTTAAAGTTGAAGGTTGTCTTTAATTTGTGCCTATGCAGTTTTTCAAAAGAACACGGAACAGAGCAACAGAAACCTCAACAGCTACAATACCAAAGATGAGGATTTCTCACACCTTTTGTTTCAGTTCATTATCTCCTCTTGCCCGGCTAACATACTAATAGCGCCATTGATCTGTGTAAAGGTAATCAATTTTGTTTCTGAGCAACCAAAGGAAAGGGTCATTTATTTGATTTTATTGTTTCCCTTTTGTTTTGTTTTATGGCTTTCTACCCCAACATGGAATCTCTCAGAAGGTTCCATGGACTCCAAGTTTATAAGATGTTGGGATAGTGAACAATTCTCTTCTCTCTGCTCTGCAGAGTGTGGGGAATAATATTGTCACTTGAATGATCTTTGCTTATCCCTTAGACTTAAAGTTCCTTCTTTGTTCAGTCTCATCATCAGGGGAGGGGAGGGGAGTGAGGGTCAGGGTTAGGGGGTCTTGGTGACACATCCTTGCCCAAGCCACAGAACCAAAGAGTTTATAGAGGAATTGACAGCCTCGTCTTCATATGATCGCTACATCCTAACAGGGCTTCATTTGGGGGTCGGGGAAACATGTAAAAATAATTGCCAGTTTCTACTTTTCTATTAGCTTTTTAAAAATCAGCTGTAAAATTGCATTTCTAAAGAAAGATATATATATATATATAATATATGAACACATATATAGATTCAACTTGATATTGGTAACCCAAAATTATTGCTGTCCAAATTCATGTCTTGTTTTTGTCAAGTGTTTCATTGATTAAGTATTCCGTTCAGAATTTTGCTCATTTCTCATGCCATCCCAGAGTTCATTTGCCACTGTGGATGACTTGGAGTATTCAGATTTCTGTGAAAATTCCTGGGAAAGGTCGAAAGTCCAGTTCAAGCATTTCAACATCTAAGCTGTTGATAAATGGATCCATAGTGAAAATGAGTTGTATTTGTTTTTGGAGTCATCTCTAATCTATGCCTCAACCATGATCAAGGTGAGGAGGTCCATCCACTAGACTCACCCCAGAACTGGGCCAGGGTCAGTGGGGTGCTCCTCTTCTATAGCTGCGGGAAGGCTCAGTGGTCCACACCTCGCAGTTATGGCGATGACGCCAGCTTGGTTCTCCAGGACCTTCCCTGTCCCAGGTGTCCCAGATCCTCCTCAGTGAGTAGATTCACCAAAGGGACTTCCCACGGGGGAAGCAACTTCCATTGCAATGGGTTCATCAGGTATCCTCAGGGTGGTAATTACCAAATCTCATAGACAAGCCTGTGTGACCACAGCTGGCACTGGGGTAAGACAGTGGTGTGTTGTTGTTGTTTTTCTTTGGGGGGGGGGTCTTAGTCCTGGAGAGAAAATACAAAGCAGAGCTTGGGGAGGATCCCAGAGTCCTGTCCCTGGGAGCCTCATTGTCCCTTGTGCCACTTCTCACTCCCACCACGTGGGTCTCCCTTTGCAGGGGCAGCAGCCATGGAGCTGTGACTCTCCAGGACTTCTGTCATCCATCCTACCTGAGGCTGTCCCTCGATTTTTCCCTGTGTCTCTTTGTCTCTTTCTCATATTCCATGTCTCCTTTGTCAAATGACCAAAAAAAGAGCATATTTCAGCAGGGGAATGCTCCATATTGGTTGATAAAAATGAATGTCAACTTGCATATTTCCAAATGAATCCTTGTGACGTGTGGCCAATGGAAATGGTGGTTGTTATCAAGACTAGAGTGAGGAACCACGCCTGCTTGGTTTGATGAGTGATTCTTTGGTACTTTAATCTCAGCATTTCAGTCTCTGGCATCCTCTGAAGATGTCTAAACCGAAAGAGGCTGCCTTTGTGGCCCGAGATTTCAACACCGGCCAAATGAGGTGTAGTCACACACACCCTCTGTGTCCCTGGTCACCTGAGGAAGATGTCATCATATAAAAACGAAAGGATTCCCCTCCAAGGACTTCTGATAAATGTCTCACCAGATAATATCATACCAGAGAGAAATGCTTAGTTTAAGAAAATATTTACATACATACATAAATACATGTGTGTATCTATATATTTATGTATCAAAATTTTAAGCCCCACAGAATTTCAAATTGTTAAACATCTGAAAGGGAAAAAAATAATGCCTACAAATGGAAAGGTAATGGAAATTGACCCATGAGTTTTCCCAAGCATTTTTCAACTTAATTTTAAATTAATAATTTCAGGAAAAAAATAATTGTTTGGTCTTGTTATATTTTAGAGTCCATTTACTCAATCCAAAAATAAAATAAAAAATATTCTAGGCCTGCCTCAGCAACTGAAGGGACAGTGTGAAGGGACAGTTCTGAACCAAAATTCACAGTCTTGAGGCACCAGAAGTCCAAAGGCTATTGAGTGGGAAAATAGTTTTTTTTTTTTATTCCTTTAGGTAAATGGGTTTTCTTTACTTTTGTTTTCAATGTGATTTTGGTACTGGGGATATCGTTCTTTGATCCCAGGACATTTTTATTAAGAGCCAGTATTTTTCTAAAGGAAAACAGCAACAATAATAAAAACTCAACCCCAATATTAAAGGCTTTTCCAAATCGTAAACTAGTGTGTAGGTTGTACCACTCAAGCATGAGTCGGGAAGGACCCAGCCTGACACTTTCCCTGGAGAGATTAGAGCATTGGCCCTGTGGCATCTCTATTCCTGCAGGCCCTTGGCAGTTTGGGGTTTAGGAAATTCACGCTGATTTTCACTTATAGCTAAAGTAAAATGAAAATTAGGAAGGGAAATCTGATATATATGCATGTTTTAGGTCAAACAATGTATTTCAAAGTCAAATATATATACCTTTCATATGGTCAACCATTCTACCTTACCTATGCTAGGCACCCACCTTTTAATGCCAGTAAGTTGAACAGATTTTTAAGAATCACTACCGCTTGGATACAGCAGGCGGAGGGTGGGCACGTCCCACTTTTGAAGATGTTGGTAGATTACACAAGTGTCTGTATGATTATCATTACCACCGTGTCATGACAATATACCTTTGCAGTAAACTCTGATTTTTCAGGAGGTGAGATAGGAGTTTTTAAAAAATATAAAAAG